CACCCTCTGCTCCGACTCCATCCACCCTCTGCTCCGACGGCTCCGACAGCTCGCGGGGCTCCTGGCCACGGTGCTGCAGCCTGGCAGGACGGGAGGTCCTGCAGCTGCCTCTAAATGCCCCAGGGACATCCTAGTTTCGTGCATTCCCAGCCCCTCTTCCTGCGGGCCGGACTCATCCCGAGCCAGGAGCAGCTCCGAGCCCTGCACCGGGAGCCACAGCCCTTTGCTCCGTGCAAAGCCGGCAATTTCCCCCGCAGGGGCAGGAGGGAAACCAGAGCAGAAGAGACATCCTGTCTCGCTCTGAAAGAAGATCCCTGCGCTTAATTAAGTTCATAAATTAGCTGGCGCTGCGAGGCCGCCGCTTCCACATGAAATGGAGGTAATACAATCTCCCCGCTCCGCTCCGCCACCGATTAATTCTCCCCGGAGCGCCGCGGGCRCAGCCGTGCAGGCTGTTGGCAGGGCCCTGCTAAGCTGGGAAATTATCAGGAGCCCGGGAGCCGCCGCCAGTTATTTGATGCCGCTGCCCGCKCCGTCCGCGTCCCCGTGCCCGGCAGCCGCGCGGGAGCGGAAACCCTGCGGGCTTGCAGAGGGGGAAATGCAGCACCCCCAAACGCCRCGTGCTGCCCCCCAACTCGGCACGCTGCCCCCCAAGCTCCGCACGCTGCCCGTGCCGCCCTCGCTGGCTCCGTTGGCGGGGCTGGAGATGGACAGGGACAGCCAGACAGGGAGAGCGACTGCAACGCTTTGGGGGGGGCCACCTGGAAAGCACAGGAAAAGGACAAAGCGCAGGCAGGACAGCAGCAGATAAGGTGCTGACGGCGCCGTTTCAGCATGACATGCCCTCACACCATTCTTCAGGGTTGGGTGCTTTGTTAGGAAAATCTGTCTGGGAAGAGTTTGGGGTGAAACATTCCGAGCGGCTCTGAGCCGGCGTTTGCAGGACAGTGGCAAAACCCAGGGCAGAACGAGAACAAATGTGCAAAGGGAAGCAGGAGCCAGAATTCATCATGCTGAGCCTCTGCACTTCTATTACTCAAGTCACTTGTTCAGGCCAAAATAATCCCCTTGCCTTTTCCCAGCACGTGTGACTTATGGGGGCAGGTGCTAGTTCCTGCCTCGCTGCAGGAAGAGCGTTTGCACATGGCAGAGAAACAGGATTTTTAGCTTATGGAGGCTTAAAGAGATAGGGCTTGTTTTATGGAAGAATTTGAGTCTGAAAATGGTCTTTTATGCCCTGAGACTTGGCCCGCTCAGCAGGGCTCCCACTGGGCTGCCCGATGGGGTGCCAGGTGGTAGAGTTCTCTTTCCTGGGAGGAATGTGCTCACAGAGGAGTGCATGCCAGAAAAAAAAAGAAAAAGCAACGGGAGATTTCTGGCGGGCGGGCGCGTTCCGCTGAGCAGCGAGCCCGTTTGCGGGTGACTAATGCTTCCACCATTACCTCATGCTTTAGAAAAGCAGCTTGGTCAGAGATGTGACTAAGCTGCTGGCTCCTGATTTCCCAACGCTTCCCGCTTAGCTTGGCTGCCGACTGGCACATTGCAACTTTTCTATTAATAATTAAGAGCCTTAATACGCTCTGAAAGCCCTTGGTTTGGTGTGAAACACACCAGCTTGGTTTGGAGTTTGCTCGGAGCCTTTTGGGCGACAAGGACGGGTGTTACTGGAGCAGGAGTCACGGTCCCGAGGTGCCACCCTGGAGCAGGGGTGTGTTGGCCACCGAGCTGTGGTTTCSTCTGTTTTCCATCACATTCCCTGCGCCTGCTCCCCGCCGTGCCCRTCGCAGGTGCCATCTCCACAGTGCTGGGCCAGGCTCCCTGCACTGCCCTGGTGGAGAGGAGGGTCTCTCAGCACCCTCCCCGTGCTCCTCACCGGACATTCCCGTAGGGACAGCACGTCCAGGCTTGGGGGCTTCCTGAGGGGCCGGTCACCTGCTAGCAGAGCTGTGAAGCTCCTTCTTGCAGGTGGTCTCATGAGATGCTCTTGCACGGTACAATGATGCTTCCATGACCTGGGCCCAGGGCAGCAGGAGAGCTGCAAGTCTCGCTGAACCACATCCCATCCCAGCCACTCTCCTTCCGCAGCTTTGCYGTGCTGGAAACGCAGCCGTTCCCGATCCTCCGCTTTTATTCACCCGCCTTTCTCCAGCATCGAGCCCATCCCTAGGCTTCCCCAGGCCACTGAGCACCACCTCTGTGCTGGGACACGGCATCCTCTTCTGGACACGAGCTCCAGCTTCCCTCCCCCAGGGCGAAGCTTCCCGCTCCCTCCTGGGCAAGTGGAAAAGCTCTCAGAGGGTTGACGAAATGGCCTAAGCAGAGAAATATTYCTGTGTAATGGGAAATAAGTGAAGCAGCAAAGTGAGCGGAGACACCAGGGTGCTGGGTAGCTTGAAGAGTATGAAGAGGGACATGTCTTGATTGTGGAAAATAAGATCCTGTAAGCTGGGCTTATGGAGACATAGGAGCTAATAAACGGAACTGAGGGAAGGCCTATGCTGAAACAATCGAATATTTTTTGCTTTGTTTGGTCAAGTGATGCWGACCACAGTATTTCAGCTGCTGAATTCCCTAAATATGGCATTATTTTCCAACTAATAGATTACGCAGCAAGATAACCCCCAAGGGGAATGGCACAGGAGGGAGTTTTAAACTGGTTTTGCTTGCATTTGAAGTGTGAGAGGAGAAATGCTTATTCCTGGGGCGATTTCACCCAAGGGCTGCATCTCCCTGGTGGACCCTGCCCATTTGCAGGTGTTGGGTGATGTGTGCCACAAGCAACGGTGCGAGTTAGGCAAAAAGAAAGGAGAAGGCTTTTCTTTTTTCTTTTTCTTTTTCTTTTTTTTTTTTTTTGAGCAGAACTCACGTCCTTTCAGCCCAAAGGACAAAGCAGCAAAGCTGTCTGGAAACCCTGCTGGGAAAGAATTTTTAGAGCAGCAAATGGCCTGGGGAGTGGAGCTGTGCAGAGAGCAGCTGGGGAGGTGCACGGAGCGGGCGAGAGGAGCAGCAGGAGTGGGGTTTGCCGGGATCTTCGGTAGATCCGGGCACAGGGTCACTCTGCAAACGGGAGCTGTCTCCCGGACACGTTTGGGCAGCCGACGGGGTGTCGAGGTGGGAGATGAGCCGTAGTGGGGAGGAGGGGTCGGTTCCCACCTCTCTAGATAGATTTGCTTGCTGGTGCAGTTGGATTTTGAAGGAGCCCCCAGGAGCTTTCCCAGAAGGATGCAGGATAATTCCTGGGRAATTGTCCTGCTTGTGCTGTGCTCGGGACCAGTGCAGCAGCMGGGGCAGCGATGACGGAGCAGACTTTGTCACTGGCAAGAGCTCTGGGCCTTCAATACACTCTCACCTCAAGAAGTGCACGGGGGGGTCCCAATCCCTGAGCATTTGGCAGTGGGAGCTGGCGCTGGCCGTGCTGGAGGCGGCAGGAAAGAGCCCGTTCCTCCGTGGGAAGAGCCGCGAGTGCCTCATCCCGGCCCCGCGGGGCCCCCRAATAGCCGGAGAGGAGCCCGTGGCCGGTGCTCTGGGCCCTTGGAGCCCGTGGAGACCCTGGGCGCTCTCCATCAGAGCCCCGAAGGAGGTTTGTGTGCGGGCAGGAGAGCCCCAAACCAGGCACCACGCAAAGCCGCCGCGCCAGGACGTGGAGCCCCAGGGCCGCGGCGGGACGCAGCAGGATGGTGCCTCAGGGGGTCAGTCCTGCAGCTGGGGGTGGCTCCTGCTCCCTGTGGTGCCTCCCCAGTTAGACAGTGCTAAGTGCCAAGCTCTAATAGGTTCATTAAAGACAGGTAATGTAGGTGCTCAGTCATGTTGAGGAAGATGGGCAGTTTTGGGGGCAAAGCGCAGGAGATGGCTCCAGGAGCGGCTGGTTCCCGGGGACCCGTCTGTGGTGGGTGCCGGGTGCGTGTCTGTGCGTGGCAGCCCCCGTGTTTGCTGTGTGCCGGTGAGTGCCGGGCAGTAACGTGCTGCCCTGCTGGCACCGAGAGCGCTGCTCTCTGCTGCTTGCGGGCACGAAGCCTCCCAAGACCCGGGAAGCCAGGAGTCTGCCCTTGGATGGATATGGACGTCCAAGCCGTCCCGGCCAAAAGTGTAATCTTCTGTGACGTGCTCGGGGTGCCAGTTGTACTGCTGRTATTTCTGGCGGACACTTTTCCCTGGAGGCTGGGGCCCATCCATGGCCCTGCCTTCCTGCTCGGTGGGGCAGCTGGGAGCCCCCCCGGCTGCAGGGGCTCCCCAGGACCCCCTGCTTGGGCGGGCTGGGCTTTCCTTTAAGACAATAGCGGTTGGGGTTGTAAATGGAGATTGAAGGGCAAGTTAGGACGACAAAATCCATTAGCATAATGCAATGTTCCAGCCTGTATTCCAGTCAATATTCCAAGGGTCCCCTAATGATTGCAGATTAAGCAGCACCTTTTCCTCCAGGGACTTCACCCTGGTAGCAGTGACCGAGGCTCAGGGGGGTATTTTAGTACAAGAGCAGCTTTCCAGTAAACCTGAAAATAACCTAAACACAGCAGTTGTGAAGGAAGCGAACACTTCTGCACGCGACTTCCRCACGTGCCTGCTAGGCCTGTGGCTCCACTGGAAGGAGGAACTCGAAGGGAGAGCAGGAGAAGCTCAGGAGAGGGATGGATGCCTTCCATTTGAAGCCTGACAAAGCCAGGCTTAGACCTGCCCAGTTCTGCATGCGCAGCCCCCCGGGTGCCGCTGCAGGGGCGAAGGCTCCCGGTGCCGCCCAGCCCTCGGTCCCGGTGCAAGCGGGGCTGCCGGCCGCGCGCAGGGGTCCGGGCGCTCCCGAGGGAGCAGGGCGCGGAGCAGGGCAGYGCCCGGGGCCCGCGCGGGCTCCGGAGCGGGGCTGGCGGCAGGACGCAGCGCTCGGCCTTGGGGCGCTTCCCAAGGCCCCGGCGCTCGGCCGCGCGCCCCTTCCCAAGGCGCCCGCTATCGTCTGCGTGTCTCTGTTGCTGTGCTTGCATGTTGATAAGTTATCTGGTTATGTCTTGCAGCCCTCAGAGTCCAAGCCCAACGTCACCCCTCTCACCGTCCTGGCCCATGTTCTCCGCACCATCCAGCCCTATGCCCACCTCCTCTACGTCCAGCGACTCATCCCCCATCAGGTCTGTGGCACAATTTGCTTTGCTGTGCGTGGCTTTCACTCTTCTCCATTTGAGCTCCCCACTTCACTTCCCTTCTGTCCTTGGCCCTGCTCGAGCCCTGGTGCGGGAGCCCCGGTGCCTCCGACCCAGCGTGTCCGGCACCGCGGGGCACCCTGCAGGGACTGAACTTGCTTGTGGTTTCTGCGGGTTCTGCCCAGTCATTTAAGCTCCCTTTGCTCCTCTCCAACAGGTAAGAAATGCCCTGGAAGGGCTGGCGGCTCTAAGAGCTTGGGATAGCCGGAGCTCTGGCCACATCCCTTCTTAGCCGCCGTCCGAGGAGCACAATGTGTGACGGTGACAGGGACGCTGGTGCGCTGGGGCCGGGCGCCCGCGGGGCCGTGGTGCCCCCGGCAGGAGGAGCTGAGCCCCGGATGCACCCATGGCTTTCCCAACCCAGCAGCATCCCGCGGTGCAGCATCCCGCGGTGCAGCATCCCTGCTGCGCTGGGGGCGGAAGCTGCGGCTCTGAGCAGGCTGCGGGGCAGGAGTGCGGGAGTTCCGTGCCCCTGGAGCAGGGGAGATGGGACGTGGAGCTGCTCCGTGTCACACGCGGTGGCAGCAGCCTGGGGACGGGAGCGGCGCCGCTGACCAGGACCTTACCTCCCCCTCCCCATGTGCCCTTGAAGTCCCCGGCTCAGACAACCGGGATTCGGACAGGAAAGACCCAAACCTCGGAGCGCTGCTCGCAGAGGAGCGAAGGCRATTCCCGACTTGCTGCCTTGCGCTTTCCCTAGGGAGCCGGACGGCTTTTCCCACCAGCTGGAAGCCTGCAGGCCGCTGGCTCCGCTGCTGAGCATTTAGACTCTGCAGGTCCTGGGCGGGACAGGCGATAGAGACGCACCAAATGGGGAGAGGTTTTGTCATTCCAGCCGTTCCTGGGGGGTTGCAGCTCGCAAGCTGCTGCGCTGAGGGGCTCGGTGCAGCCCCGGCCTGCCCTGCCGGTGCCTCTGCGTTCCCGCGCGGGCTGGACGGGGCGGCCGCGCTGCGGGGCTGCGTGCGGGCACCGCGCTCACCCTCCTGTGCCCGCAGCTCCCCGCTGCGCCAGGCGCGCGCCCTCTACGCCTGCAAGGCCGAACACGACTCGGAGCTCTCCTTCACGGCCGGCACCGTGTTCGACAACGGTGAGTGCTGCGCGCGACAGCACCGACGGCACCGAGCGCCGCAGCCTGGGCGTCACTCGCTGTGTATTGATCCGGACCCGTCACTGGGCCTTGCAGACCGCACCCGCGCCGCCTGTGGCCCCAGGAACGCTTTGGACTCCACATTTGTGGGGTTTCCTTTCAGTCCTGCCCCCCCCAACCCTGCTGGATAGAACGGTGGGGAGGTCTGGACGGGCACGCTGGGTCAGTGCTCGCGAATTAAGGGAATGGCTTTTCCCACGCAGCCCCCACGTGTCTCACAAATCAGCATAGTCTCCCCTCGGATGGGAGCTGAGCACAGGGGACGGGAGCGTTTGCATGCAGGGAGAAGCGGCCGTGGGTGCGGAGGCTGCTCTGGGGAGGGGGTTGATCCCCGTTAAGGAGAGGCCACTTGGTGGCCCTGGGGGCTCCTGCTGGGTTCCACGGGGCTCCGGGGGCTCCCGCGGAGCGGGCGGGCGCCGCGGCCGCTCTCACCCTCCCTCTGCCTCCAGTGCACCCGTCGCAGGAGCCCGGCTGGCTGGAGGGGACGCTGGGCGGCCGCACGGGCCTCATCCCCGAGAACTACGTGGAGTTCCTATGACTGCGGGCGTAGGAGCCAGGGCCGCATCCCGCTCCATCCGAACGTCCCGACGTCCATCCCTGTGGCGGCCCCGCTCATGAGCCGGCGCCCCACGGCGAGCAGGGAAACGGGCCCCTGCGCCCGGCCGGAGCGGCAGCGGCTCCGCGCATCCTGCTGCTGCGCCCGGCGCGGAGCTGGGGCCAAACGCCGCGGACTTCTCTTCTGTTGGGTTTACACGAGGGACGGCGGCTCCTTCCCTCGGGCTGGTGGAGCCCTGTGACCTCCGCAGCTCTGGCCTCGCTGCCTCCCCTCGCCCGGAGCCCCTCGCTGCCTCCTGCCGCCTCCTGGAGCCCAGCCGGGCAGCGCTGCCGGCGCCGCTCCGAGGCTGCAGACCCCGTGCGCACCATGGCTGCAGACCCAGCGTGTTCCACGGCTGCAGACCCGTCACGCTCCGTGTCGCACAGGCGGAGCGGGAGCAGCAGAGCGGAGCTGTCCGGCGGGATGCCGCTCACTCCGGCCCTGGAGTGAAGGAACCTCCCAGGGACGTTGGCAGCGGAGGATCCCGAGGAGCCGGCAGCAGCCACCAGGACTGTGCGGGTGACGGGCGTCTTTGCTCCTTGTGATAATTTTAAGGACTCTGAGTGATTTGTTGTCCATGTCACTTTTTATTTTTGAAAGAATTAATGTATAAATAGAGTATCTTAAAATATTATGAGAGAAATATCAGTATTTGATATTTTTTAGGAGAGCTATAATAATAGAAGTGAAGGATGTTTGAAGCCCATTTGCAGAGCCACAAGCACGTGCGGCCATGCGGGAGCCTGCGCTCCGCCTGATCGCCGGGGTTGGGCTGGGGAAGGGAGAGGGCAAAGCCGGATCTGCCCTCGCTGCCGCCCCGGCGCCTGCCCGGGGGCTTTATGGAGGTTTTATGGAGGTTTTACGGAGCGGTGCTGGTCACMTCCTGGCACCTTCCCCCCGAGCTTCCCTGCATGGTGGCGCCGGGCGGATTCCCAGCGGGGCCGGGCACACCGGGCCGGGCAGGGGGTTCTGAGGGGCCCACGTGACGTGAGCACTTAAATATATTTATTTTTAAATACACCTGTACACCTACAAGCTTGCACGCACCTAAGCATGTGTGCACACAGCTACACATGTGCAGGTAAGCGCAAGCAAAGCAGGAGGCTCCGGGGGAGGCTCCGGTGGGTTTGGCTGCCCGGGAGGTGCCGGCAGCACAGGGAGCCCTGGAGCGGCCGCCCGGCTCCGGAGCGCTTTGATGGAGCCAGATTGCTGCGGAATTGGGGGAGCGACCTGTGCAGGAAGGAAGGGACCTGTGCTGAAGGGACCTGGTCGGCTTGGAAAACGCATAGGATTTTAATTACTCTGATGAGTCAGAAACCTCAAAGCAATTATAGTTGGTRCTTTTGGGCTAATCCAAATTTGTAGCTGCAAGGAAATGAAGATTTAGAAATGAATTTTGTAAAAAATAGCCAGGTAKAAGCCTGTTCTCCGGGCGAGGGGCTGATGGTTTCACGGCCACCGCAGCAGAAGGACATCTCGCTGGGACCCCCGCCCGCCCCGTCAGTGCTGCCCCGGGCTGAGCAGCAGCTGCCGCCCCACGCGTGGGGGTCCCGCGTGGGGGTCCCGCCCGTGACTCGCCGCCTCCATCCCCGCTGCAGCGGTGACGTCTCCTGAGAGGAGCAGCTCCAACCGCGGCTCCCGCGGCTGCTCCGGACACGGGGCTCCTTGGCAGGGCGGGCAGCGCTGGGCGGCTCCATCCCCCGCGTCGCTCCATCCCCGCATCCCTGCGCCGCGACGAGGCTGCAGCAGCAGAGCCGCTTGGAAATAAACCCTGTCCTTCCGCCTGCCGTCGTGTCCTGTCCTTCCTGGCTTCAGCACCCCGGGCCCTCCCTGCCCGGCCCGGCCAGGGCAGCGGGTCCCAATCCCTGCTCGGGAGCAGGGGCCTGGAGGGGGCTGCAGACCTGGCTGGGCTGGAAGCGCCGCTTGGATTCCCTGCTCAGATTCCCGGTTTCCTGAGCCCGGCTCCCCCAAACATTCCCGCTCCGGTCCCGGCTGCAGCGGGACCTGCCGCCCAGAGAGGAGGGTTTTGTGCCTGCGGAAACGGGGAAAACGCCTCAAAGCCTCGACGTGCCCGTTGCCAGCGACGCTTGCAGGGACACAGCAAAACCACCACAGAAGCATTTTGAAGCCGTTTAATGAAAAAAGCAGAATTTTATTATATGGTTTCTGTCCATTATTCGGCATTGCTGTAAATGACTCACATTTACTGCAACTTCTGTACAGATGTGTGGCTTTGTATTACCAGAACAGCAAATTTAAATGAAAAAATAAATGTTCAACAGTTCCACACAAGCTTTTACAGTCCAACATTTCACTGAGTAGGTGAAAACTACAGACTTGTTACTACAGAATTATTCAGCATGAATAAAAAACTACAACTTTTATTCTTAAACAGGAGTCACTGGTTTAACTTCGTTTCTTTATGCTGTTTAAAATTACTGTGATAAAAATAATGACTCTTTTTTTAATAATGCCATACACCGGTACGCTATAGGATCCGCCCCGTTATATACCTTTGTTTCATATACAAAATAGAGGAGGGGCCGCGGGGCGGCTGCTGGCGGCGCGGGGCGCAGCGGCGAGACCCAAAGTGGCGCCAAGTTGGGCTCGGGCGATAACCAAAGCGCGGGGACGCGGTCGCTCCCCTCTCCATCCCGTGACCTGGCTTATCCTAGTAAGGCCGTTCCTAGGGCGGTGCGCGCAGCGATGCGCGGCCATGCGCTGCAAGGCGCTGCTTTGCACGGCCATGCAGTGCAGTGCATGGTGACGTGCAGCCATGCACAGTGATGCACTGCACTGTGCAGCCATGCACTGCAATGCACAACGCAGAGACATACACAGCAATGCACTGTGATGCACTGCAATGCGTAGCCATGCACTGCAATGCACAGTGCACAGCCACGCACTGCAGCGCACGGCTGTGCACAGCAATGCACAATGTGCAGCCGTGCACAGCGATGCACGGCGATGCACAGCCATGCACAGCAGTGCACGGCGATGCACAGCAATGTGTTTCAGTGCACGGCGATGCACAGCGCCGCGCGCGCCGCCCTCACACGCATGCACTATGCGATAAGGCACTGAAGGGACAGAAGTCGCGATTCTCCCTGCTTTATCCAGAGTGCAGATACTACCCAGTGCTACAAGGACTACTGATACACACAACATGGACTTCTCACTGCTCACTACAGCACTACGTATTTTTAACTCGTGAAGTTTAAAACAGCACGTGCAGGATGAAGGCTTTCTGCTAACGTCACAGTTTCCTTTCGCTTCTCCTCGAATGCTCGAGCTGGAGGCGAAGCGGGAGGCGCAGGGGAAGGGGCCTGTCCCGCGCCCCGCGCCGTCCCACCGGCTCTGCTCTAACGCATCCGCCRGGCAGGAGCAGTTCTCCAGCTCTCCTTCCGAGCAAAGAGCCCCTCTGGCACCCAGCAGTAAGAAACTCCTATCTGCAACTTGAACGAGTCGCATAAATATTTTCATTGAGTTGGGTCGAAAGCTATAATTAAAATACTGAAGTTTAGCTTAACTGTTACAAAATGTACATACTCTTTACAGATCATTCAAAGAGAAGAGAATGATTACTTTTTTTTATTAAAGATATTTTACTCCAAAGTACTGAATATAGTATTTTTTTTTAATAGGTATAATGTTCAAAAAGAGATTTAAGAAAGGATGAAAATTTAGTTTCCTATTTCACCGGGAAACGAGCCTTTGCTGAACAATAGAAATGTGCTAGTGTATGGTGAACAACCTACGCTTGTATTTACATATTGCTGGTACCTGTATGCGCATTATTGCCCAACTCCTGGCGCTCTCCCCGCCCGGCGCTCCGGCCGCGGGGATGGTAACGGCGCACGCCGGCGGGGCGGCCCGTGCCCGGCCCGACCTGCAGCTTCGCACAGTGATCTGACAGCGCAGCGGGGCCCGGGACGCCCCGCACGCTGGGGGGAGCCCCGGGGACGCCCCGCACGCCGGGGGGAACCCGGGGACGCCCCACACGCCGGGGGGAGCCCCGGGGATGCCCCGCACGCCGGGGGGAACCCGGGGATGCCCCACACGCCGGGGGGAGCCCCGGGACGCCCCGCACGCCGGGGGGAACCCGGGGACACCCTGCACGCCGGGGGGAGCCCCGGGGAGCCCCGCACGCCGGGGGGAACCCGGGGACACCCTGCACGCCGGGGGGAGCCCCGGGACGCCCCACACGCCGGGGGGAGCCCCGGGACGCCCCGCACGCCGGGGGGAGCCCCGGGACGCCCCGCACGCCGGGGGGAGCCCCGGGACGCCCCGCACGCCGGGGGGGAGCCCCGGGGACGCCCCGCACGCCGGGGGGAACCCGGGGACGTCCCGCACGCCGGGGGGGAGCCCCGGGGACGCCCCGCACGCCGGTTCGGCCTCCCGCGGCGTCCCCGGGGAGCGCCCGCGGGGCTGCTTCACACAAACCACAGCTTGCACAGGTTACCACTCCACGGCTTTGTGACCCCTACAAAAAATATAATTACATGTATCATGATAAAGCAATCTGTCATCTAAAAATCATCCTTATTATACACTATACAAGCTATTTTACAATCATTTAGTAAATTGCTTTTAAAGCTGCAGTAGCCCTTCCCTTCTTTTCTTGGATCAGCAAATATACCGATTATACATACTTGAAACTATAACTAAATATAAAAATATATTAGGTTTTGTATTTTATCAGATGATTTTTCTCATTTCTATTACACAAATAATCTGGCCACTTTGAGTAAAAATCAAATTTTAGAGTGGCTTAGTAAATACTYAAATTTCGAGATACAGAAAATCGTTAAGGTGCACGTAGAAAAGGCTACTACAGCTTCTAAACGTTTTAAAATACAATGATGGATGGCAACCGGGCGAAATTCACAGGAGCTCTGGCGGGTCCCTGGCACGGCGGGAGGGCGGGCRGGCGGCAGCCTCGCGGGGCCGGACGAGTCCAGGAGCG